TTGTACTCAGGTCATGTTAATCACATAATGATCTTTAAAAAGGTATCAAGGTGAAATCACAGTATGACATCACATTATGATGAAATGTGATCATCATGCATTTCTATCTGGGATGATATATCACAATAAACTTACTATAATATTCTTTTCTTTCTATAAATTTCTTAATATTTTATTAATAAATAAATTATACTTAACTTATTCATTAATAAAATTAATACATTTTAGGTCGTTTTTTTTACTAAGACGTAAAGATTTTTTTCTTTTATGTAAAAGTAACGAGTTGCTCTACTGTCTTGTAAATTTTACCTCGTAATCGCTATCGCGCGCGTTTTGCATAAAAAATTTATTCTAAGTGGAAACGTCAGTTTTTTTTAGATTTCCGTTTCAATTATAATATTACAAAGATAGGAATGTCAGATTACTCGAAAAACATTAAACTTGAAGGAATGGTCAAAGTCATTTTGCAAGTAACTACATAAACTTTAGAGATATTAAATAAAATAGATAGGCGAATCAATGCGTGTATTTGCTAGGTACGTTATAATATACTGTGAACACTGTAAGTATACATTTTATAAGCATAAATTGTAAGAACATCGTTGGAGTCATTGGAATCACCGCGTACCGCTCAATCCCCCATACAGCACAGAAGCTTGCAGGAACGTTACATAATTTCAAATTTCAACGTAACATTGCAGAAGCATAACATAAACATGGAATTGTAACATTCAATCGGAAATGTTAAAACAATATTGCAGAAACAATATAAATAATTAAAAATAATACTATAATTTATACATAATACATGTCTGATACAGTTTTGTATCATGTTTTATTAAAGGTGTATATCAGTTGGACACGGGACACAGTCCAATCACAAGTCGCTGTTCCAAGGAACCCTACAAATGTCTCTAATCACACGGTGCTGTGATTGGCTGTGTCCAAGTGCACCGCTCCCTTTATTAAAATACACGTTTTGTATCTTAATCACAGAAATTTAAGTATTCCTTTATATCTATATTTTCTTATATCTTTATTATGCCTTTATAGCATCTGCATGCTGCGTTATCTGTTAGTCTATATTTTTCAGCTGAAGTGGCTACGCTAGTTAAAAAATAGTTAAAAATATATACACATTAAACATATGAAACATATGTACGAAATTCTCATGTTTTAGTCTGTGTACATTTTTTGAACTAGTGCATTCAAGTCATTTGAAAAGAACAAACCATATAATGTGCCACCTATATTTGTACATTTAACAAAAAAACTCAGTTTAACTTCATTATGCGTTGCCAGCAACTTTGTAAGATTTTCTACTGAACGACATCAGTGGTTTACCCTTATAGAAATATCATACTAATAGCGAATTTGGTTGCTTGCACTAGTGTGCACTGAGTGCGCACTAAGGCTTGTTCATAGTATGTTATTATATTTAAAGATTGTCTTAAATAATTCTCAAATAAATTCTCAAATATTTTTAACCATAATATGATATGTATAACATCCGTACGAATCATTTTATTAGTTAAAATGTTTTTAAATATGTATTTAAGACACGATCTTAAATATAAGAATGTACTGTAAACAAGCCTTAATGCGCACTCAGTGCGCACTAGTGCAAGCTACCGAATTCGCTATAAGAAATACTGAAAAATTATTAGTGATTAAATATTACCAGTAATTCAGTAATTTTTTGGCCAGTACTTAATTTCTGGTGAATACTGATAATGAAATCACTGTTAAATACTGATAGTAATCAAATACTGAGAATTCTTATGCGAAGATGAAAAATGAGAAAATCATAATGTTTACAAAAATATACTTATATTCCTAATTTTCTCATATCTCATAAACTACTAGATATCGAAGGTTGTCAACACATTCCAAATTTTCGTGAATCCTCCTGCGATAATTTCGATCCCAAGAGGTATACCGCTGGTTACCCATCCATGACCGCATTAAACTGTTGCTTAACCTGACGATCGAGTGCGCACGCGGTGACTCTGATGACTGCAACGATGTTCTTACAATTCATGCTTATATAATGTATCCTTATAATGTTCACAGTATATTATAACATACCTAGCAAACACCAAATAATAGTTACATAATTTTTACTTGTTGTTTATTGGATAATTTGTTGATCCCTTATAGAAATATCATACTAAGAATCATTGATAATTTACTTATTTTCAGTATTAAAAGTACAGTATTTAGTAATATTCTGTGATTAAAATACAGCTTTTAG